ATTTTCTTATAATTGTCTTTCTGGTTTTTATAGATGTGAACAGCTGACAAAAGTTCAAATACTTTTTGTTTAACTATATATAATTATATGCACGCAACCTGACCCTTTGACCTCGATTTGGCTTGGACTGAATATTTTATTTTAAACAATATTCTGACGTGAAATACAAAATGTATTTCAACACAAGTATGACATGGTTGTCTGGGGTTACTTTCCTGATTGTTGAGTCTTCGCAATGTGTTTTGTATAATTATTGTTGTTTTCCCCGATGCTGACAATGGACGTTAGATAAACACGCATTGTTTGCAACTGGAAGCTTATCACCCGTTATATCAGAATCGTCAACAACAGAGTATACAGATAAGATGTTCTCATTTAAACCCTTTCAAAGATAAACATTATGCAAATATCCACTAAACGGCAGTTGTAGTCTTTTCTGCTAGTGTTTTAAAACACTAATTTGAGCAATGTTATTTCGCAACTTCGATCTTTTGTAAACCTGGGGTGATGTATCAAGGTCTAAAGTAACCGTTTTATCAATTTTTGAAAAATCAAGAAAAAAGTGAAAATTTTCCTTCTCGCTACCTTAATTGAAATGTGCATTGCTAACAGCGGAGTTATCTCAGCCGATAGGCTGCTTGTGAAGAAATTTCTCTCTTTGGCACAGTTACATCTGTGAAGGTTTAATGAATTGTCTGATTTTATCAAATCAACATTTGACTATCTATGAATGTTGTGTATCATTGCTGGAGTTCATCTGCAGCAATTACTTAATGACAAATTAACATTATTGAATTAACATTAGGGAATGATTATCCGACTGCATCAAGCAATTTTTTTTTAATTGTATCCATAATTTATTTCAGTACTACTTGAATATAACAGTTCTGCTTTATTTTCAGACTGTTCAACCCACTGCAGACCAAGTCCGTATGGCACAGATAACTCAGAATGTTGATCCAGAGACAATGGCCAAGATACAGCAGGTACTGTTATTACGTGGTAATGCTCCGTGATATTGTTACTAATAAGCAGTTTGTACTGCATTGTTGCTGAATTTGTGTTCATAAATAGGAGCCAGAATGACACATTAACCACTGTAATAGACTAGTGCCAAAAGTATAGTTTCCCTCATTTATTTTATGAGGAAAATAGTTTGATGTAACCATGTAGCTAAATTTAGCATCTCTTTTTGCATTAGTCTAATTATAGCTATCTTGTGTTTCTCATCCAGGATGCTTGATTTGTGCCTGCTATTTCCCTCCCACCACTGTATATGTGCAATTTGTGGGCTTTTTCGCCAGTAAATTTTGAATTTCCAGCGGGAAATCACTGAACATCTCTGGCATCTGATCATCTGCAAACTTAAAATGACGTGGTAGGAATTTCAAACAATGTAATACATAATTTATATATATACCTTGTATGATCGTTCCAAAAGTACTGAACACTATTGGAAAGATGCATTTTTCAACATGGTTGACAATGTCAAACATGTGTACGTCTTTTTCAATAAAATATAGAAAAAATTTAAAACTTTGGGAGTGTTTTACCATTTTTAGCTACGCTGTCGACAAAGTTGACACAGCGGAGCTGTTGATATTACTGATTGTATGTCGTCAACTTTACAATTTCAACTTATTCTTCGAAACCGCAAGTCAGAATTTTTTCAAATTTGATATGCAAGTACCTTGGATGTTTTTTTCTCAGATTTGTTCATTTCATGTCAAAATCTCAAATTCTCTAAATTTGATGAATATTTTTATCATTTTGGTAAAAAGTGATATTTTCAATTTCTTGTGAAAAACGACAAGTTTGATTGCTTTGATATTGCATATATAGGTACTACATGTGGACCTCTCAGATTTGCTCATTTCGTGATATCTTCATTTCTTTAATTTTGATGAATATTTTTGTCATTTTTGACTTCTCCTTGAAAACTGCTTGTCCAATTTCTTTGATATTGTAAATAGGTATATCGGGTGGACCTGTGTCAGATTTGGTAATTTCATGACGATACCTTCAGTTCCCTAGTTATAGTGAATATTTTTGGTAAATTTTTTTATTGACTCCCATGTGCGAAGCACATAATGGGAGTCTTTGTAGTTAGTATGTGTGTCTGACTGTTCCACTGCTATCTCAAGAACCATACATCGGTTTTTGATGAAACTTGGTGCATAGATGCTCTGGGCCAATGCGCAGATTTGATCAGGTTTTGGTAAAAATCCATGCTCGTTAATTACCTAATTTGCATGATAATTAGCTAATTTTTAGCTGTTCTATGACTGTTCCACTGATATCTAAAGAACCACTCATTGGATTTTGATGAAACTTGGTACATAGATGCTCTGAACATATGCGCAGATTTGATTAGTTTTTGGTAAAAATCCGTGCATATTAATTACCTAATTTGCATGATAATTAGCTATTTTTTAGTGGTTCCATGACTGTTCCACTGATATCTAAACAACCACTCATTGGATTTTGATGAAACTTGGTACATAGATGCTCTGAACTAATGCTAGGTTTTGATTAGTTTTTGGTAATAATCCGTGGATACTTATTACCTAATTTGCATAATGATTAGTCAATTTTCGGTTTTTCCACTGATATCTCAAGTACTAATCATCACATTTCAATGAAACTTGGTACATAGATGTCATATGACACTGCACAGACCTGATAGTTTTTATGGTAATATCAGTACATATAATTACCTAATTTGCATAATTAATTAATTTTCAGCTTTTGATATAAGTAGTGAGCATTACATTTCAATGAAACTTGGTACTTACATACTCGAGGACTATGCAGAGATTGTTTCGGATAAATATTTGTGTATATTAATCACCTAATTTGCATAATTAGTTAATTAGTCTCCGATACTCTCAGCACATGGGAGTTCTTTCTAAGCTTTCTTTGATTTTCAGCTTTTCCACGGGTGTCTCAAGTACTAATCATCGCATTTCAATGAAACTTGGTACATAGATTCTTTAGGACTATGCAGAGACCTGATTAGTTTTAGGGTAAATAATTGTGCATATTAATTAACTAATTTGCATAATTAATTTTCAGCTTTTCTACTGATATCTAAAGTACTAATCATCACATTTCAATGAATCTAGAATTATGCAGACCCAATTAGTTTTTGACTCCCATGTGCGAAGCACAAAATGGGAGTCTTTGCAGTTGGTGTGTCTGTATGTGTGTGTGTATGTGTGTATGTGTGTCCGACTGTTCCACTGCTATCTCAAGAACCATACATCGGTTTTTGATGAAACTTGGTGCATAGATGCTCTGGGCCAATGCGCAGATTTGATTAGGTTTTGGTAAAAATCCATGCTCGTTAATTACCTAATTTGCATGATAATTAGCTAATTTTTAGCTGTTCTATGACTGTTCCACTGATATATAAAGAACCACTCATTGTATTTTGATGAAACTTGGTACATAGATGCTCTGAACATATGCGCAGATTTGATTAATTTTTGGTAAACAGTGTTCTCCACAATCCAAATTAGCTGGTGGGCGGCCTAATTAGCATAAATTTGCATATTAATTACATATCATTTACATACAGAATTCTCGCATTTATGACATGAACTGCAATACACACTAAGTTATTTACTATTCTCTTTTTAATTTAATTTAATTGGAACATGTTACAATTTTTTTAAATACAAACAGATTGGTCACTATCAATATTTACGTAATGCAAAAGTTTGAAATCGGTGATTTATGCGTTCGCAAATTATTCTGCGTTCATGAAATGCAATTCGAGTAACCAAGAGCAAGT